CCTGCTGACATCATAGAATCACAGAATAGTTTGGGTTGGAAGGGACCTTTAAAGGCCATGTAGTCCAATCCCTCTGCAATAAGCAGGGACATCATCAACTAGATCAGGGTGCTCAAAGTGCTGTCCACCCTGACCTTGAATGTTTCCATCATGTAATCTTCTCTTAGACACCTGCTTTCTGGCTTACAACCTTCCCCCCTAATTGTTCAAATCTGCTGCCATCAGCATTAGCCTCTTCCTCAGCTACCTATTGGTGATTTCAGAACCCCTAGAGGAGTAGAACTATCTTCTTGCACAGATTATCAGGATGCTGTGGAGTCTGTGAACTATAAATCAACTCAAATTCCATATTAAGGCTTTAAGAGACAACTAGATAAACATGTAGTTATTGAATGTTTGTAACTACAACTTTATACCGAGCATAATTAAAAGTTTGAGTCCTTAAGTGGCAGAAGATGGTTTGGGGTTAGAAAGAAGGTACCTTTTCCAGTTGTACAACTGATTGACGACAGTACTGATAAGACCATAAAACCACCTTCCTCTATGAAGCTGTTGAATACAAACTCTTGCCATTGCAGCCAGACCACAGCTAAAGTTCAGTAAATCTCAACTCAGTAATATCAAGACCATTTGATTCCTTGGTTCTTAAATAACCTGTGAATCCCATGTAATTACCCTCTGTGTGTGAGGCAGGGGTTTTAAATTCCATACCTTCAGGGGGCGACACTGATAAAGGTACCGTGCACCCAGTATTTGAGCCTGTGGGTTGGACAGGAGGCCCACCTTAGTCCACAGTATCTGTATCTCCAGGGCCACAGGAACCATGCAATAGGAAGTGCTATTCACAGCCTGAAAATAAAATATACCCCAAACACCTTAATATAGTATTTTAAAGATTAAAAAGGACCATTAGAGTCAAAGTCTAGTATTTTGGATAGCATACATCACAGAACCTGAATCAGTCACTTCAGCACTAACCCTGTAACTTCTGATCAGGTCAGCCACCCATTTTAGAGCTATACCCATCTTGTTGTCACCTCACTTCCACACAGAATTTGTCTCAGCTCTACCACTTGGATTTTGCATTCTATTAGGCCACCCTGACAGATTAATAATTATTAAAATAGACTTTCCCTCCTCCATAAGTACTTGGATTGCAAACTTTTACCCTTATTAGCTAATATATAAATATCCCTAGAAGCTGGAAAATCAGAAAGGACAATAACAATAAAAGCATCAAATTAATAGGAAGTAACCAGGTAGCATTAGTTCTAGAAGGCTGTCAGAAAACTAGGTAATACAGCGCTGGATTCAGTATTAAACTCTTTCTGTCCATTTAAATAGCAGGAACAGGATTCAAGAGAGATTAAAGCTGTCATTTTTTTTTTTTTCTTAAGTATCCTAATAATATGAATCATAATAAGAATGACTGCTTACAGGCATTAAGACCCCTGAGAGTCAGTGGATCATCACACAAAGAAAGTAACTGCAGATGAACAAGCTTGTTCTTTTTTCTCCCATGCCCATGCTTCCCCAAGGCAATACAGATATGAAAGGAAAAATATTCACAGCTGGTCTTTTTGTATTCATATTACCTGCACACTGCAGCTCTGAATCAGAATGGTCATCCACTCTTCTGCCTGGGTTGAATGAGCACTGGCAGTTATAGCAAGGTTGCCTGCTATGTTAATCCCCTGAAAAGCCTTGTATAACTTCTGCTGGATGTAACTACAGTTACTTTCTTCCAGTATTGGGGATAGGCTGGAAATGAGAAAATAACAGCTTTTGACAAAGTGATTTCCAGGACAGAAAAAAAAAATGCTATCAACATCCTTCCTTCAAAACAAGTATTTTTTCCACTTTTGTAATGAGTCAACAGAATCATTACGGAAGTATTGGTATTAAATGGATGCAGTTTCAATCCCCTCTGCAACGAGAAGGGAGAAGAAAAACATGGCAGGGTAACACATGATAAGGAAAACTGACAGGTCTTTAGCCATCTTATTATATCGGTAGTTGTATACCTGCCCTGTCACCAACAAAAGAATGATCCAAATCATCAAAACAATCACTTTTTAAGGTTCCATTATAATTCACTTCTCAAATACAAACTCTACTCTTGCCCAAGACATGTTGCCAGACTACAGCCTCAAAATGTCCCAGAAGACCTTCACAATGTTCTGATTGTTCTGGAGGTCCACCATCTCTCTGATATTCAAGTCCTCTTAGGAGTATATGAAAGATCTGTGGATACCTATTGGTGAACTCTGAGAAGGACCTAGGCTCCACAGCAGTGTGAGAGAGACTATGGAAAAACGTGCTATGTGAGTCCACTCCTTCCAAATGCGTTAGGAAGGGTGACTGCAGAGCGTGTTGTTACCTGAGCTTGCAGCCTGTCCTCATATTTCTTCCAAATTGTACTGTGTGTCTGAGGAACTGCGAGCAACTTCCATCACCTTTGCTCTGTAAAATGCTCATCTGCATGTCAGACTGCATGTCAAGAAGCCAAACAAAAGCATAAATAGATTATACAGGACACCTAACTTGTATTTAACAATGCTCTCACCCCACACTCTTCCTTATCCCTATCACAGGACTACAATTCAGCCATGACCAAAAGGCCTGCTGATGGCTGTAGTGTAATACTGAGGTGTGCCCTCACAGGTAAAAGTAGAATCTGAAAAGTTCAGACAGTAGTGATAAATAAAACTTGATAGCAGAAAAAGGATACATGCTGCATGGCACCACTGTTTGCAATCAGCAGTGGTGCTCCAGTGATATAGCCAGGGTTTCCACTTCTAGGCAACATATGAGAAAGGGTCCTGGTCTACAAGGAGGCAAAGGGAAGAAAGAAAGGAAGAGGAAAACATTAGCACCAATGAGATCCATTAATCTCAGAAGATCAAATTCACATTCTCAAAAATGTAAATGTAACCCATTTTATGAATGACTGAATATTATGCACTACTAAAATCTCCACTATTTGTTTCCAAATCCTCTTTCTTACCTGGCAAGTTCACCTGCAGTCCAGGAGGTAAAAAACTACATGTCAGTACCCTGAAATGTGGATACTACCAGGACAGTTCTTGAATTCCTATTGCTCAGCATTTGTTTCTAAGGAAGTGAACATACCAGTCTGGGCAATTCTACAGATGATCTGCAGAACAAACCCTGCCTTGACCCCGATTCTGAGTGGCAGATTCCACTTCTAAATTGTTTTATGGGGAGAGACTCTGGGGATAACTTCAGCAAGGTTGCACTGCTCACTTATCAACCCCTGAGGTCACCACTTATCCCACTTTACATTGCCTTTATGGGACAAGGTTTATATGAACTTCAGCACACCTTAGTATTTCCCAGATTTCCACTCCTTCCAAAGTAACTCTTTTTCCCGCTGCATGGGCAAAGTTAAATAAGTACCTGGAATAAATTTAGCAACTTTGTTCACAAACACTGAACATCTCAGATACAGCACCAGCTGCAATCCTTTCCTTCACAAGACTATGCTGGTGACCCTGATCTCATTCTCTTTCCTTCTCCCCCCACCAAAAAAAAACCCCAAGCCAAATCAAAACAACAGCAAAAAATAGTCAGATAAAAATAATCAGCCCCTTCAAACTTGTGCAGTGCAAGACTGCATGCTTGCACTGAGCATGAATTTTTCCACTAACGTGGTTTACTCGAGACCAGAGCAGTGTCCCCTCCTTCCTTCAACTACCAGCTGTGTCCCAGGGTTCTGGTAGTACCATACCACAGTGATGCTGCTCTAATCTTTTCACACCTCATCTGTGCAAAACTGGGTCTCAGCCTACAGACTACAAAGTTGGTAAGAGCCCAGGGAGGGTGGGGCACTGACCCAGAAGTGCAAAGTGAAGTGCTGCTGCAGAGAGGATCCTGAGTTCCCAGAGATGTTGCTCACTTTGAACCGGACAGAAACACTCTGAATCCCACGTGTGCCGCTGAATTCTATCTCATAGATGACCTGAAAGTCCAATTCAGAGAAGAATCAGAGGCAGAGTCTGGTAATAGAGCAATGATTTTAAGCTAGTGTTGAGCTGCCCAAAGGAAAGAAGATTCAGATACCTCAGAAACAACATTGTTACATGTGTTGTTTTTCATGTGGGGAGCTCCAGGTGGTGCGACTGCGGTGACCTTTACCTACAGACAGTAAGCATATTAACAATTAGCAATTGTTTAAAAGGAGTGTCTTTCTTAGTCTTTTCCACTGTTTTTCCGTCCAAGTCAGATTTACCTTCCTGCTGTAGCTGTGATCTGTGGACACATCACCCTGCTCCAGATGCCCAATTTTTTCTACGAAAACAAGCTACCTCCCTGACTCCAGCCCTATCTATGCCCATTCATTTAAAAGCACAAAAGTTCCTTATATCCCTTTTTTTTTTAAATAATGTCACACTTATGTAGAAAAAATCTTGTCTCAGACACAGAACATTCCCATTCTCCCAAGTTCCCAACCCATGGGCATTACTATGAATGCCTAAGATTCCAGGTATGTTTTGTTTCAGAAGCAGAAATTATTTTCATTGGCAATAGAGACTGACCTTCATGGATGGCACAATGGTGTCATTAATTGGGACCTGGGGAAAACAAACAAAGAACACCAAAAATTTTCTGGCTTTGCAAGTGCCTAAAGTCATGAAACTATCACTAAGTAGAGTCTACATGTTATATTGACAAAAAATTACTTTGTTTATTCCAGATGTGTAAAACTTGTCATCAATTTGTGATCAAGAAATCACTAGCATAATCCACAGAAAGCATTTTTAGACCATCAGGAGACAAATTTTATTCTTGGCCCTGCTAAGGACTTGCAGAATGCAGATACTTTAAAATATCAGCATCTTTGATCCATTCCTGGAGCTCCCCCTTCTGGAATCAAGTAATTACTTCAGCTTCCATTTAAGGCAAAATTAAATTTTGGCTACAGTGACAAAGCAAGCCCTGAAAACATGAGTTAAATTTGATCCATAGAAGACTCTCTGCTACAGTTATGTAGATTTAGAGTTCCAATATAAGGGTAAACGGAGTCATCGGCCTTAATAAAGTCTTAATATTTACACTGCCGTTTTATCTTGGAACACCAGAGAAACTCTAGAAGGTGAGAGGAGATATTTTCATGTTAACATTCAGTAAGACCAGCATGATGAACCCAGAACAGTAAATCGGTTATTTTGAAATTATTGTCAGCACAAATATGGAGAAATTGATGTGGAATTCAATCTATGAATGTAAATAAAGCTAATATTGATAACTGACCTTCAGTATGATTTTAGAGATAACATATTGTGTAAACCAAATCCTCATTCTTTACTAAGAACATGCATTGCTTGGTTGATCAAGTTGGTGGAGGAGATAGAAATACTTTGATAAACAGTCTGTTCAAAATGTGAAAGAGTTCTAGTCAAACCATTAAAACTGGGTAGTAGCAATAAAGTACCTGTTAAATGCATGAAGAATTTGCTAATAACTTGAAGTTATTGGAAAGTAGTTTGAATTGAGGGATTATCACTGATCATGACATTTTTAACAGGATTTCCAGCAAGAAGGCCTTAACAACCGGGAGATTAGGGATGACATACCAGATGACCTTTAATTTTCCAGGTAGCTGAAGCTGCAATGGAAGGCAATGCAAAATCGAGCAAATAAGATGTTGAGCAAAAGGAAGAAATATGACATGCACCTTCAGCACAGTGAAGTCACGGTAGTAGGAGGCAGCATCGAGGGCAGGGTCAGTAATGCAGCTCTTGCTCAAGTTGGCAAAAATCCGAGTACAGCTTGTGCTTTTACTGTCCAGGAAGCCTGAGTTAAGACATGACAACAGATAAAACAGAAGCAAACCACCCTAAGAAATTCTTCCCCCTTTACTAACCAGCAGAATTTCCATCAACACAAAGTCCACTGGCTCCCATTTTTACTGGTTGTCTAAGCGTGCTCAGTACAGATGATGAATCAAAGTAGATTAGGATTGGATCACCAGCCTGAAAAGACAATTTGGAGAAATCACAGACAAAGTGACTGTGGAATACTAAGGCCAAGTGCAAGGTGATGATATCATCAGGGGACAGAGGTAAATTTATAATTCTCCTTACTGTGCACCCAGTTTTGTCTAAAGGGTTCCCCAAACTTTTAAATACAAGAAAACTAATCAGAAACTTTTTACACAAAAAGGAATGAAAAAAATTCAGAGATAATATGGATTATAAGTAGAAAAATAAGAATCTTTCAATCTGTTCTCATTAGATCTCATTACAGACAGCTTTAGTAAAAGTGTATCTGCAAACTGATTGCTATTTCTTTCAACTCACCCGGTAAAAGGCAGAGAATGATGGCTGGACTTGTGACGGTGCTAAGAAAGATTGTCTGCCATACTTGTGTAAAAACTTCAAAAAATCAGATTCTTTGATATCCTGTGGCTGTTGGAAATAGTTCAGCTTTGCTAAAGGTTGAAAAGAAAAAAAAAAAATCTACCAATATCAAATTACTAGAAAAGACAGATCTAAGAAAAAGTCAATATTGTGCCAATATTTTTAAAAGGAACAACTTCAGTAATTATAAGCTAGATAGTGGCTTATATTAATTAATCCATAGTAACACTACTAACAGGCTAAGATGAGCTATGAATAGGATGATATCATGAGTACCAGTTTGTACTGTTTCATGGGAAACAGGTGGTAATACACAAATGTGACTTTCCAAAAAGCGTGAAAACTGCTTAAGACAACTACCTTAATCTGTGCTCTAATTTCTGTAAGATGCCCAAATTAGACACATGTGACATTTTAATGACAAAACACTACCAATATGTGAGTTCACTAAAAGCAACAGTAAAGAGATTCAAAATAATTAAGGTTAGTAAAACTCAAAGTAAGTATGAATAGGGAATAGGCATCCTAAAAAACCCCAGACTTTCTATTTGCATCCCACAGCGATGCCCTCCTGACCCAGCAGTTTTCAGTATGGTTACCATGTTATAATGTATTAAATTATTACTGCTAAAACACTAACTCATAAAATGGCAAATTATTAAGGACATACTATGTAGACTCATCCTAATGGACCTGTTCGAACAGTAAACTTTTTAATACATCCAAATAAAACGTCTTACAAGGTTTGAGGACTACAGATCACACTGACAACAGGAGTCAGTGGCAGTATGCTCGATTACAGTAGTACCAAAAAGAATTCAGGTAGTCCCTAAGGTTTGCCAAGGAAAAAAAATAAAAAAAAAAAAAAAAAAAGAACTTAAGCTCTCAATGTAATTCTGCTGCTTGAGGGCAGAGCAGATCCTCAGATGTATAGAGCAGCAAGCAGAAATAAAAGCTTTTTATATCTGAATACAGCATTAGGCAGGCAGTCAGCTAAATCTTTTAGGGAGAGAAAGGCCGAATGAGTATTAAGCTCCTACAAGGTTCACAAAAATAGGTGCACAGAGCAGCTTTCTTATTAATCACTTGAGGGTATTATCATTAGCCTGAAAAATAAAACATTGGTAGTTGTGCTAGTCTCAACCATTTCTTTTCTTTGGAATGCAGTTCTTTATGTACTCTTGTGTTATCAAAGCTGAATTCTTGCTAATGCAGATTAACATTACATAATGCAAAATACACCTGAAAAGTGGAAGAAAAGGCCATCTGCAGCAAAACTTAAGATATTCAAATTGCTTAAGTTTTCAGAGAAAAGACATATATAACTTGCTCGTAGTGTAGTTTGCTCAAGAAAGCACGCTAGCTACTAAAGGCCATTTAATCTTGTAGAAAAAGGCAAAAAATTTCAGACAATTTAATTTGTCTGAAACCAGACAAACTTTTTTTAAAAAAAAAAAAAGCAAACCAGGAGTCAGGCTCATGGATAATGATTCTTGTAACTTTAAAATGCACACATATTAATTCTTCCACTGATTTAGAAGCGGAAATTGCAGCAATATTCTTCTAACACCTGCAAAGACTAAAGACAAAGCTGCTATCTTGAGAAGCCAATATGTGAAACAGGAATGTTACACGTACTTGAAGTATTTTGAAAATATCCAGTATTTCCAACCATCCCTGACAATGGGTCTCTCCCTCTTAATGAATTAATTGTCAGTTGGATCAGCAAGACCGCCTGACTTGCCAGCTACATGATCATTAGACAGGAGGAACTGTTAGGGATGTGGTGAGCAGTCACATCGCTCCATTTAGTATCAATACAGTCTAAAATCAGTTTAAGACATATGTGAAACTCCACCCTTAGCACAAGACAGTGAAAAGGCAGTACTGGGAAAAATTGCAAAAGGAAGGAAGGGCCACAGAGGGCACAAAAGAAAGAGAAGATTGGGTGTGATGAGCTATCAAGGTTAGAGGAACGCCAGAGTTGTGAACAGCTGTCGGATGGAGAGCAACAGTATGAAAATGTAGAAAAATAGAGCAATTGAAGGATGGCAATAGTCAGAAAAATAGGCAAGAAAGATGACTGTGTGAAGCAAAGGCTGTTTTACACTTCAGGAAAGAGAGCTGAAATAGAGTACTGCAGTCAAGAAAGAATGAGGACAGTCATGGTAAGAGCCGCTAGTGACAAGCAGAAGAAGAAAAAAAACCTGCGTCTTTTAGAAGTGTCATAAAGAAGTATTAGTAAAACTTGAACGCTACTTTGGTATCTGCTAGCAATGGTTTTAATGAGATGAAGTCAACTTGTGCATCACAATCTCTTTGTTACTGGCCACAACAATTCATTAGGTTCAGAGCCTGTTCCCACTTGCCCTTTTCCAGGAGGCTCTCTAGAACAGCCTTGATTACATTTCTGGCAGTGGTAGCTCATGTGACCATGCATCCTGGAAAGGCTTCTTCCACAATCACTTGATGAGAACATATGTGTTTCTGTATTTCCTCGGGGAAGGCCGAAGGGAAGGCTGTTTCTGCTTCAGGTGATCCCAAATAAAGTCTTTCCCAACTTCTTCCAACAACAAGCACAGAAAAGGAAAGGCCATGTGAGCAATGAATTCTGTTGCTCCCAGGTGCGCTACACCTAATGTACATGTGCAAT